TGCTCCAAGAGAGAAAGATGGAGCTGCCTACTCTCAGTTATCCTCTCGGAAACTCACAGGACCACTGCTGCTCCGTCTCGTAGGGTTGCTATGAATCAGTGCTGGCTGGATGGCAGTGAGTTTGGTTTGGGGGATGCTTTGGGGTGGGGGGCTCAGAATCTGCTGGGCAATGCAGAAGCAGTAGCTTGTAACAATGTGGCACCAGGCTGGGCCAATACTGGGCTGGCTGACCGGCCTCAATATGCCAGGTATTTCTATCCTGACATTCATATTCACAATTTTGGAGTCAGCTGGCCCAGAAGGAAGTCAAAGCTCTGTGATTTCACTTCCTGGTCGGGTGATCCTGAGCCTCATGGATCCTTCCATTTCTCTTCTGATTTAGTACTACCTGGCCTCAAAACCGCCGGTTCAAAACCACCAGCATCTTCTCGGATGAAAGATGGGGATTTCGATTCTCGTAAACAATTACTGTCTCAAGAACTCAAGGGAGCAATTTTGCCCTGTTCTAGAAGGCTGCTGGGTCAGCATGGCTTGCTGGTTGGCAGTGAAGTTTTCTTTGTTTCTGGTTTAGCACCTTCCAGGTTGGATGCTTATTGGAACAGCCAGGGAGGGTGGTTGTGTTGGAACGAAGAGCCGGTTGCCCTGCACTGTCCCATGCCGGGGCATGGATCAGACTGTGGCCAGGCTGAGGGTGGTTTTTGTTTGGTTTCATCCCTTTCAAAAATAGCGACTTCATGTCTCACAGTCCTAACAGGAAGGTATGCAGCCCAGGGGCTTGTCATGTGGTGTGGGTTCCATGTTGGTAACCCTGCACGCCCTGTGGCTTGTAGACGAGCCCCCCACGGATCTGGCTTCCCTAGGTGCACACCTCTCTTTGTCTAATCTGGGTTTCCATTGGCTGATCTTCAGAAATAGATTACCCGGCCTTTCTTCCTAGCCGATCTTAGTCAAGAAGGACCTGAAACCTGCATAACTCCCTAACACCGGGCAGCGAGCTCCCGGCTGTCCCTGCAGTATTTTGGCTGGAAATCGAAACTGAGCTTCTCACACGGAAGCCAAGGCCCATCTTCCTGGAAGTCTTCCTCTGGTTGGCTGCTCCTCTCGTTTCCCAGCAGGAGGTCCTTCTTCAGGGGCTGGTCCCTCCTGATAACACGTCCAAAGGACGTTAGACGAGTCTCGCCAGCCCCACTTCCAGGGAGTGATCTGGGGAGACCTCTTCCAAGAAAGGCAAGGTAGGCGGAGTGCTGTCAATCATTTCCTGGGCTCTCAACAGGGCCGCTGCCACCTAACAGACTGCTATCGCCTCTGAGCCGCTGGGCAGAATGAAAACACAGAGGGAGGAAGCGATTCGCTGGTGCTGGGCCACATGCCGATGAGAAGCGGCCCAGAGCTGTAGAGGAGGCCTGGCCAGACCTCAATTTCCTCTTCCCAGAATTAATCTATAATTGGCAACCTTGTCCCCCACCCCCGCCAAATAACAAAAACAAAACTCACTGCCACTGAGGTGTTTTCATCACATGATGGCTCTACATGGGTGGGTGGAACTGCCCCTGTAGATCTCTGAGACCACAGTTCTCTGGGAGTAGAAAGCCTCCCTTTTCTCCCACAAAGCTGCTGCTGCTGGTGAACCCCCTGACCTCATGGTCAACAGCCCAACGAGTAACCGCTATGCCACCAGGGCTCCCAGCCTTGTCTCCTCTGAGCTTAAATTCGAAAGGAAGTGCTAACATCAGAAAAGCCTTAGAAAAATACCATGCCGGCATGTTATAGCCATGCTTCCAGCAATGTGACTTTGACAGCACCGCCTCCCCCTGCCAATATATCCCAGAGAAAAATTCTGGAACCATCTACCACTCCAGAGGACATGAGATAGCATAAAACTCCAATTCCAGGGCCCAGAGGTAAGAATAATTAGAATCTAATGATCCAGCTTTCTAATACATCATCTGATTAGGACCCAACCCTGCTCAAGAACCCTCAATGGCTCCCCAGGGCAGCCATGCTCAAGACCCAACTCTTTGGCTTAGCACCTACCTGATCCTTCCTGGCTCCTGATGCTCCCCGGGCTCTGCTTTGCCACAGGGGACGCACTCGTGGCTTTCCGAGCACACCCAGGGCTTTGCACGATCCCTTCCCTGCTTGCATGCCCAGGTGCATCTACTCATCCTTCATGCTCGCTCCACTGCCACCTCCTCCAGGAAGCCTCTGCCAAACCACTGCAGGGACTCGCTGGCTCACGCATGCGGGCGACGGTGCTGCCCTTTCTTTCCTCGGTGTCCCCGCCCAGGCCACGCTCTGGCTCACGAAAGCTCTCAGCGAGTTCCCTGACTTGGGATGAGAGGGAGGTGCCATGGGGCTGACGCCTTGGGACTGAGTGGTCTCGGGGAGTACCTGGACCCCCTCCCTGCCCGTCTCCTTAGCTGCGTGGTGTCCACAGCGCCGTGCCCGCCTCCTCCATGGCAGGGTAGCGAGTGTCGGATCAAAGTGAGCCTCTGTGTGGTTGACAGGAGGGGCCGGCAAATCCAGTTCCTCCTCGCCCTCCCCTGGCTCTTTACCCGCCCCCACCCACCTTCCAAGAGCTCCTCAGGTAATGGAATCGGCTGATAGCCTCTTAGAAGCTGGGTTGGGAGAATCCCCACCGCATGCTGAGACGTCTAGCAGGCAAAAGGTTTGGGGGAGCCCTGAGGCCGGGCCTGGGTCTGCTCTCGGATCTGCTCTCCTTGGCAGCTGGATAAGCTGGGTCCTTCGGGGCTCTTCCTTCCCCCTTCCTCCTGGGTTCACAAACATCTGCCTCAAGGCCCGTGGCGCAGTCTCTCTGCCTGTGTAAGGAGCTCCTGAGCCCTCAGCCCGTCCTGTACAAGTACAGGGGCCCTGGGTCTCCCTCGGGACCGACCCACGCACGTTCCGGCCCGGGGCACCTTGGGCTAACTTCAGACCGATCTGGACTCCCATGTGTACCCGACACCCAGGTGTCTTCTCGCCAGGGGACAAAAACCAAAGCAGATGCTGCGTGCTTGTTAATACTAACCGTTTTCATTTAAATTAATAGCATTTCTGGAAGACAAATGCAGTTGATAGAAAATATAAAAACTTTTACTGTACAAATTTCACATCACATTCAAGAAAAGCAAGTGTGTGTCCCTGTGGCTACAGAGGGCGCTGGGTCACGGCGGAAACCTGGGGACCATCGCAGCCTCACACCAGCTCCCCCTCTAGCTTCACATTGGTGCCCCCGCTCGCCCCCAGCCCCCACCAGGGGCCGTTCCACTCTGCCCCGTAGCGCCTCTGTGGGTGGGAAGGGGCTCGCCGCAGTGACCACCACAAAGACCTCCAGTGCTGGCCCTGCAGCCGTGACCGTGGGAGAAAGGCCCTGAGGTGGTGGGTCCCGAGCACCCCAGCTCTGGCGACACTAGGCGACCATCTTCACACATGGCTCACTACTGGCCCAGCAGCAGCAGGGTCAAGTCCTTGGGTCAGCAGCCCAGGGTCTGCGGCTCTGGAGACCAGAGGCATCAGGGACACTGATGGGTAAGCTGGGACCTGGAGGCTCTTCGAAGTGACAACCCCCACCCACACACACCCCACACATACCAGGCATCTCCACAGCCCTTAGCTCTCCCTTCACAGCTGGCGGGGAGAGCTGCGTTCACAGTGATCCACTGTCCTTCCTGTATGTCCAACAGGAGACCACGCAGGAGGGCAGGGGCGCCTTCGTAACCTCACTTCACAATCAGGGACAACCAGGAGGAGAGGGGCTGGGGGTAGTGCAGCCTAGGGCCACCACCCCAGGGTTCATTCACGCCCCTGTCCACCGTCAGTTCCTTAAAGGTGGGAGCTGTGACCCTGCCGGTTCTGGACCCCTAGCACTCGCAAAGACAGAACACCCAACAAAATTCCTTACTGCCATTGCGTCATTCCGGACCCGTAGCGACCCTCTAGGACAGAGTCCAACTGCCCCAGCGGGTGTCTGAGACAGAATCTTCATCGCTCTCCCACGGAGCCGCTGGTGGGTGGTTTGGAACCACTGACCTGCGGTCGGCAGCCCCACTATGGGTACTGACCACACGTGGACGTGGCTGGAAGTGAACTGAGACCGTGATAAGGAAAGACCAAGATCCAGGTGGAACCTCTCCGGGGGGTGGGGGTGGGGCATCAGGAGCCCCGGCATCAAGAGGCATGAGCTGGACCCTCGCTCCAGCTGCCCCCACTCTGCTCTTGCCCGTGGGAAGGTCAGTGGGGCCGGGACACGCAGGGCATGACCCTGAAAGGGGCAGGGCCAGAGACAAACTGTGCCCTCTGAGAAGGCAGATGTGTAGGGGTGCTGGCCTATATTCCATGTGGCGTTGAGGTACGAGGGGTCACATACAGGGGTAAGTTATGTGGCCGTGGGGGTGCTGGGGGCAGCGTGAACAGACCCACCCAGCGCTGAGCTAAGGAGTGTACAGTTTTCTTCCTCCCACCCTGGCTGGGAAAGGTCAGGGTGCTAACAGTCATGGTAGCTGGGGTAGACTGGGTGGGGGGGTTGGGGGTGGGCAGGGGGTCCTAGGGGTACAAGTGCACAGTTAGGTTCTCAAAGTGGCCACTCAAGGAGGCCCTGGCCCCAGGGTGGGAATGCAGGCTGCAGCCCGAGTCAGGGTGCTGCTTCAGCTCTGCTCCGGTGCTTGGGACCCTCTGGAGAGTGGGGCGGGCTCAGAGCATGGGCTGTGGGAGGTGGGCTCAGGTACCGCAGCCGCCTGCTCCCACCCAGCCGACCCCAACCCCGTTGAGCAGGCGCCGTGACACACCCGAGGACGAGCCAAGGTCAGCTTGGGGCTGAGTGGAGTCTAAATCGCTATAGGGTTATGTCTCTTCTCCTTGGGGTTCTTCCCCGGGCGGGGGTCGCTTCAAGAAGAGGCATCTCTACAGGGATGTGGATGCGCCCTCCCCTGCAGAGACGACCTTCGCTAGGTGAACAGCGGCTGCATCCAGATGTCGGCCTGGACGAGGTCTTCTTCCCCCCCAGCAGGAACTGCCCACCCCTCCCCTCTGCCCTTGGAGAGCGCAGCTCCCAGTCAGGGTTTCCGCTCCAAGATGAGGACGGGGGTCAGTGGAGGACCCTAGAGAACCCCTCTGGCGCCCTTGTCCCTAGGACCAGCCAACCACCTCATTGCTCCTCCTGCTCTGCTGCAGTGCCCCCCACCCCACTCCCCACCCATGGGGCTGACCCTCACCATCCCAGTGGGCGGGGCCCGGGGCCCTGTACACAGAGACTGGCCGTCTTTATTATTACCTCTTGTAAAACATCGCCCGCATGCAGCAGAAACATGTATGTAAACATTGGCTGCCTGTCTGGACAGGTTGGGGTGGGGGCGGGTTGGCGCCATTTGCAGCAGCAGCAGCAGCAGCTCCATCTCCGCAGGACCCAGGCATCCCCGGGGGGCAGCAGTCTGTACTGAGGCTCGGGCTCCGGGTTTGCAGCGCCGGGAGGGCCAGGAGGGTGGCTGGTGCTTCAGAGAGCGAGTTTGCTTTTTAGTCTGGGTGGCTCACAGAATCGGTTCGACAAAGCCATTGCAGCAGGAGACCTGCACGCCTGGCTACATCTTGGGATTACTGGGCTCCAGGACGCCCAGGCCCAACCTCTCAAAGCGGGGTGACACTTTGCTGCTACTGATGCTGCGAAGAAGGAGAGAAACCCAGGTTACGGCCTCGCTGGTCAGCGTTGGGAGGAGCGCGTGGACCAGGTCCAGAAGCTTGGCAATGGGCCTGGCCACCCACCAAGAAGTGACAGGGATTGCGACGCTAACAGCCTGCGCAGAGCTGCTCCTGGCAGACATGGAGGGCCGGGTCCCGTCCTCCATCACTCAGCCCACCCCATCACGACCCGGGATCAGAGCTGCTGTCTTATTTGCTCGTGCTCCGACTGGGTGCACGGGAGAAAGAAGGCTTGAGTCCCGGGACCAAGGGCAATGCCCCATCCTGCATTGGAAAGTGCTTCTCCCGTTTGGGGATCCATCAAGGCCATCTGGGAGGCTGGCTGAAAGGCAGCTGCCGAGAGCCGTCTCACGCATGAGACGGGAACCAAGCAGGTCATGGGTGGGGCCCGGGAACCTGCAGTTCGGACGCTCTCCAGTGGCTGATGCACACGGCCTGGAAGTCACCTGTCAGCGATAGCAGACTACACGGGCAGATGCTGTGAGGGTCATAACTTGGTGGTGGGGCAGGGGGATGGGGCTAGCAGCTCTATTTTTATTTCTGAAATTGGAACTGGGCGTCCCCCTTTGCTTTAGGAAAGTGTTTCGGAGGCTGCAGGCTTTGGCAGGTGGGGTCCCTGAGAGCAAGAGGGCAGTGTGTGCCTACTGCTCCCCAGGACAGACCAGGCGTTATCGGGGGCTCTTAGGACCACAGTGCTGGCAACCCTGGTTTGAGGGGGCTCCTGGGAGCTCTCATATCACTCCACTCCTTGTTGGATGGGGCCCCGGGTGAAAAGCCAAGCAGAACCCCCCTCACCCCCCCACCCCTGCCCCATACCAGGAGGGGGCTGGTCTCCCCAGGGTGGGGGTTCCATCTCGACACAGTGTTTGTTAGTCATGACACAGCACCCCCCAAGCAAGACCCAACCAGCATCCCCCACCCCGGAGACAAATGGCAGAGACACAAAAGTCATGTCCAGGAAGGTTAAGAGCGCGTGCGGCCTGCCGTGGGGGGAGGGAGGGCCTCTGTTAGTGGTGGGTCTTCCCGCGGGCGGTCGCTCAGGCACGTGGAGAGGGGGCAGTTTGGAAAACACACAAAGCCAAAGAAGAAGTCTGGCAGGGCAGCCTGGCACGGCAGAGCCTGCGTCCCGGGTTAGTGCCCGCGGTTCGTTGGGTTTAGCAGAAGTCCCGGTGCCGAGGTGTCGGTTAGGAGGAAGAGAGGCCTGGGTGCATGCAAGGCAGTCGGACCTACAACCTACGGAGGGAAGAGAAGGAGGGGGGAGCAGCGTCAGAGCCGCCAGCCCCCAAGGGAGACTGGGGTGAGTGTTAGAGGCCTGTCGGGGGCTGCGGGCGGGGACGCTCTTTCTGGGTGGAAAGAGACAGGGTCGTGGCCTGGCCCCCCATCCCACGCTTGGCAGCAACGCAAGCTGAGGGGCCTGGGAACAGACAACTGTCACCAAACTCCCCCAAGGCCTGGTCCAGAGCCATGCTTCCGGAGAAGGCGCTGGCTAGTGACTGGCTGGTGGGCTCACGCTCCTCACCCACAGACTACCGGCTTGAACCCCTTGGAGCACACTGCATTTCTCACGGGAGCTCCTCCATTGGAGCGTGGGGCTTCGGAGCCAAGGATCCAA